CCCCCGCGCCAGCCACGCCCACGGCCCCTTGCGGCCAGCACTGGGCCCAGGGGCGCAGGAGCCGCAGCCGGAGGCGGGAGCAGCGAGTGGGAGCCCCGGGCGCCCGAATGCAGGGTGAGCGCTGCCGGCCTGGCCCGGGGGGCGGGCGGGAACCCGGGCTGGGGATCCGAGGGTGGGAGTGCTGCGTGGACTCGCGGTCCAGCCGGGGAAAACTGGGGCGCTGAGGGCTGGACACCACCCCCCCTGCCCAACTTGGGGACCTTCGGGGCAACTTCCCCGGTGCCAGCGCCTCCCTCGGTTCCCCGACTCAAGCTGGCGGCTCCCACCCGAGGGATCGTAGGTGTAGGGGAGAGCGACAGTCTTGGGGTCCTGAGCGCGGCCCTGCCCAGCGCAATCCTTCGGGTGCCCAGGACTGAGCCCCACCAGGATTCGGCCAACCGGCCGCGCCCTCGGGTTGGGCGAAACGGGAGGACCCGCGGGGGATGAGCAGGCGGAGTGCGCCTTTTAGGGTGGGGGTGACCGCGGTGCCAACACCGCGGGGCGGGGTAGGGGGCGGGGCCGGGCTCGACCCAGGGAACCCTGCAGCAGCGTGGGCCGGAGCAGCGTGGGGGCTCTAGCTGGGGCGCACCCTGAGCCCGGGGAATCCTTTCAAGTTCTGGGTCCCCTTTGTTGCGCAGTGGAACCCCGGGGCAGCGCGGCCTCATTGGCCTGGGACCATGACGTCACGGCCTGGCCCCGCCTGACTTTTGAGGGATCCTAGGGGGCCCTGGGAGAGTCGCACCTGCTGTGGACTCCTCCTTGGGTCTTGGGTCGGGCATGCTGCGCGCTCCTGGCCCTGGAGATGGGGCCCTCGTCCTGGAAATGCTTCCCGGGTGGTGGGAGCAGGATGGGAGGGAACTGGCCCCAACCGGCTCCCAGTGCCTGCGGGTCCCCAAGAATCGGGACCAGCAAGTGTGCGTGTGCGATGAGTGCACGCGTGTTACCAGCCTGGAGGTAGAGGGGCGCGCAGCTCCCACGGCCAGTCCCTGTCACGCTGCACCTAGAGAGAGACCTGGCTTCACCCCATCCCAGACCACACTGCCCGGGAGCCCTGGGTCCTGACCTGGCCTTCTTTCCTGCCGTGTCCCCAGACAGTAGGATCTGCCCTGCAGGGAGGAGGCTCAGAAAGATCCCTCACTTCTAGGAAGGGACAATGCTGTGCTCCCCAGCACTTTAGTTGGAGAGGCCAGGAGGTGGGTGTTGGGCTGGCAGGGTGTAGATCCTGGCTCAGGCACAGGATGGCGTAAGCAAATGGCCTTACCTCTGGATCACCTTTAACAGGGATGTGCAGGCCAGGCCTGGTGCTGCTGGCCTGTAATCCCCTGATTTAGGAGGCTGAGGCAGGGGGACTGCTGCAAGTTGAAGGCTCGCCTTGGACTGTGTCTCAAACAAAAAACCAAAAATAAATAAATAAATGAATAAAGAAAGAAATGAAATAGGCATGGCAGGAGAACCCATCACACAGCGTTGCCAGAGACACGGATGAGGAGTGGGGCTGTTCGCAGGAATGTGGTTCCTCCGTCTCCCTGTCCTGCTGCAAGGCTCCCTGAGGCCAGACCAGGGGAAGAGCTGGCACTGGGCAGTGTTGTGCTAGGGCAAGCCCATGGTGCCTCCTCCCACCCTGCACCACTACTGAGCACAGGACCAGGTGGGCTGGCCTGGGCCAAGTCTCGGGGGTAGGTAGAACCTGAGTGGGCATCCGAGGGAAGGCCTCCCACGGCACACCGATGGCCAGGGCAAGTAGCAGTGATGCCCGTCAGGTCTTGCTGGGTCCAATTTGCTGCTGGATAACATGGAGTCACCAGGGCCTGCAGCCTCTGCCCACTCTCAAGCCCTGCAGGTTGCCAGGCACACCGAAGGCTGGCACAGCCCTGTGGCACCTCTCCTTGTGAGGCCATGCCACCCTGGGTCCCGGTCTGGGTGAGCATGTGTCCACCTGAGGTCTGAGCTCACCCTCACCTCCAAGTTTAGGGTCTCGGCCCTTGGCAGGCATTTACTGAGCACCTACTGTGTCCAGACTGAATCCTCCTGTGGGTCGGGGCACAAAGTGGGGGTCCCTGAGTCTCCCAGGGGAGTGGGCAGGCCAAAAGAACACCAGACAAGATAAGCAGGGGCTGCCTCCCACCTGGCCGGAGAGCGTCCCTGTCCCTGCCCCAGAGCTGGGGGGTGGGGGGCGACCGTTGATCAACACCACACTCAACACCACAGTGGCTTCTCCATTCCCAGCTCTCATCCTGGGCGACCCTGAGGCTGTGCCTGGTGTGGGAGCCTGTGAGTGGGGGGCACGGAGAGGGGACCAGTGAGTCGAAACAGGATGAGAAGGGCTGAGTACCTGTCATCAAAGCAACAGCGGGCCTCACTTGGCCTTGTCCCCATGGCACCCACTGCAGCCCGTGTCCAGCCAAGGGTTGCCAGGCTGGAAGAGGGAGGAGGGAAGGAAGGGCCTGCCACCCCGCCCTCCGAAGGATGGGGCGCCTTCCCCAGCCTGTGCCCCTGCCCAGAAGTCTGTGTCCCCACCTCACATCGGAAGGTACTGGCAGCCGCTGTGGGGGGGTCAGGCTTTGGGCTCCAGGCTGTGTCCTGGCCTGTGCTGCCCAGGCCACCCATGGCATGATCCTGACTTTAGAAACTTGGGGTCTGTCCACCCAGCTCCCCTGTGGCAGCAGTGTTACAGTGCCATTATAGAGTAGGACACATTGACAGTGCAGGGACCTTGCCCAAGCACACAGCCAGTGCTGGAGCTTTACCCCTGGCCTGTGGCTGTGCCAGGGTTGTGCATGGGAAGGCCAGCTGGAGTCTGACAGGATAAAGCCTGCACCCTCCCTGGCAGCAGGGCATAAGGGGCAATCTGGAAAGGGAAAGGGAGGTTTGGGGCCTTCATCCGCCCCAGCCTGGCCTTATCTGCCAAATGAGGTGGCATAACTGAGGGCAGAAATCCCTGCCACGTCCACTGGAGAGGCCTGGCGTGTACTCCTCCAGGATTTGGAAATATCTGTCAGTGAGAGGTTTTGCTGTGGCACAGGGCCAGGGCACATGTGAGGCAGAAGTGACCCTTTGGCTGGGCACACACCTGTAGTCCATCTGTTTGGGAGACTGAGACAGGAGAATCACAAGTTCAAGGCCAGCCTGGGCAACTTAGTGAGACCTGTCTCGAAGTAAAAAATAAAAAGGGCTAGGGATGGAGCTCGGTGGTAGAGTGGCCCAAGGTTTAATCTTCACTACAGGGGGAAAAAAAGCACAACAGTATCCCACTGGGCCTGCCCCTGCCTGGCCTGAGTGTGCAGGTGACCTGGAATAAGGCCTGGGTGAGGAGTGGGCACCCTATACAGACTCCCCCTGAGGGCTGAGGCCATGCACAGGGAGCTCCAGAGGTAGCCAGAGACAGCAGGACCAGGCAGGAAGTGGCCCAAAGTTCCAGTGCTGGATTCGGAGGGGACTCACTGAGGGCTCATGCCCTGCTCCTCAGCTTCCCGGGCTCCCTGGTGTCCCCGAGCCGCCACCTCCAAAGGCTGCTGCTCTGTGATGACGAGGAGGATGCCTTGGGCCACCTGCCTGCTCCCTTCTGCACCATGGGGGATGAGCGGCGGCTGCCTGGCAGTGCAGTGGGCTGGCTGGCGTGCGGAGGCCTCTCCCTGCTGGCCAACACCTGGGGCATCCTCAGTGTGGGTGCCAAGCAGAAGAAGTGGAAGCCTCTGGAGTTCCTGCTGTGCACGCTCGCAGCCACCCACATGCTCAACATGGCGGTGCCCATCGCCACCTACGCCGTGGTGCAGCTGCGGCGGCAGCGTCCCGACTACGAGTGGAACGAGGGCCTCTGCAAGGTCTTTGTGTCCACCTTCTATACCCTCACCCTGGCCACCTGCTTCTCCGTCACCTCCCTCTCCTACCACCGCATGTGGATGGTGCGCTGGCCAGTCAACTACCGGTGAGTGCTCGAGGGCGGGCGTGACAGGAAGTCTTACCTGGTGCACCTGTGAGCGCACCTGGGCCCTGTGTGGTTATACCACCGTGCCTGTGCTGAGCAGGGGCCGGCAGGGGGGCTCAGGAGGGGTGGTGCTGGGCTGCTGCACAGAGGTGTGCGAGAATACACACGAGTGTCAGGTGCAGATGCCTGTGCCAGGTGTGGTGGGGCACACCTGTAATCCCAGCACTCGGGGAGGCCAAGGCAGGAGGATTAGTGTGAGTCTGAGGGCAGCCTGCACTGCATAGTCAGTTCAAGGCCAGCCTGAACTACAAAGTGAGACCCTGCCTCAACCACCCCCCTAAAAAGGGCCTGGGGAAAGGGCCATGTGACAGTGTGCATTAACATCTCCTCTCTGCCCCGCTGGTTGAGCCAGGACTGTGGGGTGTGGGGGGCTGCAAGGGCAGGATCGTTTGCAGATCTGCGGAGGCCTAGGCAGACAGCCTAAGTGACACCAGGTTCCTCTGTCTCGCCCTGCCCCATGCCAGGCTGAGCAACGCCAAGAAGCAGGCAGTGCACACAGTCATGGGCATCTGGATGGTGTCCTTCACCTTGTCCGCCCTGCCCGCTGTCGGCTGGCACGACACCAGTGAGCGCTTCTACACCCACGGCTGCCGCTTCATTGTGGCTGAGATTGGCCTGGGCTTCGGCGTCTGCTTCTTGCTGCTGGTGGGCGGCAGCATGGCCATGGGTGTGGTGTGCACTGCCATCGCCCTCTTCCAGACGCTGGCCGTGCAGGTGGGGCACCGGGCCGACCGCCGCACCTTCATGGTGCCCACCATCGTGGTGGAGGATGCACAGGGCAAGCGCCGCTCCTCCATCGACGGTTCGGAGTCAGCCAAGACCTCACTGCAGATCACGGGCCTGGTGGCCACCATCGTGGTCGTCTATGACTGCTGCATGGGCTTCCCTGTGCTGGTGGGTGAGGGTGTCAGGTGCGGACCTGGGGGAGGGCTCTGGGACAGCCTAGGGGCTGAGCGTTAGGTGGTCAGCTCCTCAGATCTGTCCTTTGAGATGCACAGCATCACCCCCATTTTTTTTTTTTTTTGGTACCGGGGATTGAACTCGGATCCTCCCACTTGCAAGGCAGGCGGCGGAACCACTGAGCTAAATCCCTGGCCCCATCACCCCCATTTTACACTGCTGGGGAGTCAGGATCAGAGAGGTCTGTGACCTCTGGAAAGTCAGGGCAGCTGTCTTAGCCACTGCTGCTCACTGAGACGCAATACCCAACACCTGTAACTTATGGAAGGAGGGCTTTATTGAACTCACATCTGTGGAGGTTTCAGTCCATACTCTGGTGGCTCCAAAGCAGGGCAGCCCAGCAGAGGGGCATGGCGGAGGAAAAGCTACTCATGACATGGCCCCAGGAAGCAGAGAGTGAAGGCAGCAGCTGAGAAGGGAGACAAACCCTCCCCAGTGGTCACCCCAGTGACTTCTACCAGCCAGTCAGCCAGTGTCCCAGAGCCCCACCTGTGCTTGCATGAGGCTCTTGGGGACCTCTAGATAGAAGCCAGAACAGCAGGCATGGTGGGAGTTGAGCCCACATCCATCGGTCTTCCTGCCAGCTGCAGAGGCACTTCCTCCCCTTGCTGGGGCCCTCTGATGCGGAGAATGTGGGAGACAGGGTCACGTGTCATGTTTCCCAGGAAGAGCAGGTGGGTGGGAGGGTGCTGGATGGGGACAGGGAACATCCTCTGGGAGGTTTTCCTTAGTCTTAAAAGCTGGGGATGTCAAGCCCGGGGTTCTGTGCAGCTAGCACTGCTGCCCCCAGAATGAAGTCTGGACTCAGTGTCAAACCGTGGCCGGGCCCAAGCAGTAGGGAAGGTCAGAGAGGGGACGGGTAGGGTGGCAGCTGCACAGCTGGGGCACCTTGGACCCCCGACTACAGGGTCCTTTCGTGTACAGTCGGGCCTGGCATCCCATCCCGGTGCTGATACAGGGAAGGAGTTGGTGCTACCCCAGCTTCTCTCCCCAGCAGGAAATGGGGTGCCCTGGCGGAGCCCACTCCATGTCTCTGGCCAGTTATACATAGTACCTGTAATCTTTACCTCACCTGCAGGCCACCTGGCTGGGCCCCCGGAGGAGGGCAAGGCTGCGGCACCTGGCCAAGGAGGAGCTGGTTGCCAGCAGGAAGTGCGGGCCTGAGACCTGCTTCTCTGTGCCTGTCCTTCCCCCACTTCTCTCCATGGGGAGCCACAAGGGCAAGAGGGTGGGAGACGGACAGAGAAGGGCTGTGCACCAGGGGCACAGCTGGGCAGCCTTGGTAGGGAGGGACTCGTCCCTGCATACCACCTGCCAAGGGCCTAGAGCTGTCCTTGGCTGCCACCCGCTCCACCCAGTGGGTTGAGGACATGCCATGCAGGCGGGCAGCTGAGGCCGGGACAGATGCAGCGGGCGAGTCCTGCCAGTCAGGCTGAGCTCTGTGCCCACAGGTGGTGAGCTTCAGCAGCCTGCGGGCCGACGCCTCCGCACCCTGGATGGTGCTGTGTGTGCTCTGGTGCTCCGTGACCCAGGCCCTGCTGCTGCCTATGTTCCTCTGGGCCTGTGACCGCTACCGGGCGGACCTCAAGGCTGTCTGGGAGAAGTGCATGGCCCTCATGGCCAATGATGAGGACTCGGACGACGGTGAGGATGGCCTAAGGGTGGCCCCTGGGAATGGTGGCATCCGGATGAGGTCCAGAGGACACCCCCCCCACAGTTAGGTGACCCCATTCTTTTTGTTCTGTTTTGTTTTTTGGTGCCAGGGATCAAACTCAGGTCCAAGAGCAAGGGGGGTTCCGGAGGTGGCGGAACCACTGAGCTAAATCCCTGGCCGGTGCCCCCACTCTGACTGCCAGACACTCCCCACATCTTCTCCGAGCTAGGTGTCCCATGGGCATCCTCCTACCCTGCCTGGCTGACCTGGAGTCCATCTGATCCAACGTCTGTTAACAGAGTGGCTGTGGGCACCAGACTGGGGTAGGCTCACCTTGAGCCCTGACCTTAGAGGGCCCCTGGGCTAAGTCTGCTGTGCTGGCCACTGTCAGCCCCTGGCTGTGTATTCAGTCCCATGAAGCTCATGAAGTAGCCTCAGGTCCACCCCATATCCTAGCTGGGGAAAGTACCTTCCAGATTTGGTGGCATGGTGGCACCTGCCTGTAATCCCAGCACTTGGGAGGCTGAGGCAGGGCTACATAGAGAGTTCAAGGCCAGCCTGTCTACATAGCAATACCCAGGACCTGGGTCACCCTTTTCAGCTAAACAGCCCCTGCCTATGTGTATCTGTGGGGAGTCCCCAGGACTCCTTCAGCTGTCCCTAAGTTCTCATGGCCCCACACCTCTGTCCCACCCTGCAGACACCAGCCTGGAGGGTGGCATCCCCCCAGACCTGGTGCTGGAGCGCTCCCTGGACTACGGCTGTGGAGGTGACTTTGTGGCCCTGGACAGGATGACCAAATATGAACTGTCTTCCCTGGAGGGGACCCTGCCCCATCTCTACCCACTTCGGCCCCTGCAGGAGGACAAGATGCAGTACCTGCAGGTAGGGATGGGGCAGGGTGTGGCCATGCATGGGGTTGGTGGCCCCTGGCAGGTTCGAGGGATGGCTGCCATCTTCTGAATTGCTGGACATCACAAGTGGGCTGGGGACAGGTGGGGCACCAAACCTCTACTTATGTTTCCTGAGCTCTTTCCAGTGTCTGCTGTTTCCTTCTGCCTTTATACCCCAAGAAGCCTTCTCCCCAAAACCCACCCAAGTTTCAAACAACAGGGTCCGAAATACCGTGTTTAGACAGCTTTTCCATCCTTAACACCCATAATTTAAAGGAAGAGAGGGCTGAGGATTTAACTCAGTGGTGCCGCTGCCTGTCTCGAAAGCCAAAGGGCCTGAGTTCGATCCCTGGTACAAAAAACCAAAACTCTTTAAAGGAAGAGAGGTTTGATTTGGCTCACAGTTTCAGGGGTTCAGACCATGGTCTGCCGGCTCCAAGGCGGGAACTTCATGGTGGACCAAAGGTGCTCGGTTTGTGGTGCCCAGGATGCAGAGCACCGGAACAGTGTCCAGAGGAAGGGGCTGTGGACCAGATGGTGCCCATGGTCACACCTGCATGGCCCACCCAGGCAGGCCCAGAAGTGTGCTTTACTGATTCCCCTGTCCATTTCTTAAGCCAACTTGACCCCAGCAAGGTTAACCCTGATGTCGGTTGTCACCTGCCCCACGTCCCACAGCTCCGAGCAGGCTGCGCTGGCCCCCGACCCGCAGACCCGCCTGGCCTCGCCGCAGCACAGCCCCGGCTAAAGCCCGCCACGTCCTCGCAGGTCCCGCCCACGCGGCGCTCCTCGCACGACGACGACGCGGACGCATGGGGCCTGCAGCCGCGCTGGGGCTCTGGAGAGGACCTGGCGGCGCTGGCGCTGGCGCGGCTCGTGCTGCCCGCCGGACTCCCCGGTCGCCGCGGCAGCCTGCGCGCCTTCGCCGAGGACGCGCCCCCGTTCCGCGGGCGCCGCCGCTCCGCCGAGAGCCTGCTGTCGCTGCCCGCCCCAGACGGGCCCCCGCGCCGCGCCCACGACTCGCCCCCCGCCAGCCCGCGCCGCCGCCCGGGGCCCGGCACGCGCTCCGCCTCGGCCTCTTTGCTGCCCGACGCCTTCGCACTCACCCTCTTTGAGCGCGAGCCGCACGCCCTGCGCCGCCAGCCCGCCGTGCCGCCCGGCCACGCCCCCTCCTTCCCTGCTCCCCCGCCTCCCGGCCACGCCCCCACGCCCCCTGGCGCCCCCGGCGCACAGCGCAGCCCCGGCCCGCGCCGCTGCGCGCGTGCGCACACCAGCCCGCTGCAGACCGGCCTGAGCGCGTCGTGGGGCGAGCCCGGAGACCTGCTAGAGGCAGGCGCTGGCGGCAGCACCAGCAGCTTCCTGAGCTCGCCCTCAGAGTCCTCAGGCTACGTCACGCTGCACTCAGACTCACTAGGCTCTGCGTCCTAGGGCGCGGTCACCAGGCCATCCACAGGGACCACAGCATCAAAGATGCCACCTCTGCCCCACGCACCGCGCGCAGAAATGTACCACCCGACCCGGGGGTGAGGAAGCAAGGGCCTCGGCGCCGCTTTTTGGTTCCTCCCTGCCGCTGTTTTCTGGAGAGACGATGGCCGCCCTAGAAGACCACAGTAGGCACGGACCAGCTGGGCGCGCCCAGGCAGAGGGCAGATGGCCTTGGGTACTGAATGGCATCTGCTCGTCGGCTGCACCCTGAGCAGCTGGGCCCGGGTGCAGCGGAGCCTGGGACAGGGCCACCGTCAGAACAGAGCCCACCTGGAACCAGAAGCCACTGGAGTGTCTGCAGCTTTCCACTCTGCCAGGGGTGCAGGGGGCGTCTTTTAAGCACAGGGGTTTTCAGGGCCCAGACATGCTCTCTAAGCGGGTCCTCAGGGCTGTGACTTGCTCTGCCTCAGTTTCCCTATCTGTGAGGAGCAGGTGACCATGTTATCTCAGGGCTGTTGGAAGAAGCCTCATGTCCATGTGCTCTGGCCTCTGAGTGGACCAAGAGTGCAAGGTCCTGAGACCCTCTGAGGGTCCCTCGTGAAGGTCAGTCTTCAGCATGTGGCCCCTCTCCCTGTCCCTTGCTCCCTCCCCCCCCATTCACTCCAGCCCAGTTTAGCACAACACTTGCACCATCAATAGCTCTGCGCTCACCATTGTTAGTGACCCCACATTTACTACCTGCCATTGTTGCCTGTTCCCCTATGTGGCCACCTCTGTGACTCCCACCACAAAGGCCGTGGGTCCACAGTGCAGAAGGTTCAGCAAAGGGGAAGTGAGTTCCTTACCCCAGTGTCCAAGGCCCACCCTCCACTCCCTGGCAGGATTGCTCTTTGCTGTCCCTCCTGGGCAGACCCACTGCAGCCCTGGGTTCTGCCCTGGGCCTGGGTCTTTCCAGGCAAAGGAGAGGCCCAGAAATAGCTGTGGCCTTGAGATGGAGAAACCCCATTGTAACCATGCATTGCCCCCTTGATGTGGAGACCCGGAGCTGGTCTGGGGCCAGCCAGAGCCACCGTGTCCTGTGTCCTCTGCCCTGGATGGCCTGCCCCATCTCACTCTCCAGGCAGGGCTCCATTTCCCGAGGACGCCCCTCAACTCAACTTCTGTGGGCTAACTGGGGGATGAGCTGGCCACAGGTGAACAAGGCAGGGGTCTGCAGTCCAGTCCCCGCCATGGGAGGGGCCGGCCTTGGCCAGTGCTGCTGTGCCTTCACATGGGGAGAGGCCACCAGCTAGCCAATGTGTCACCTTCTTTGTGTATATCATATGCAAGGCAATACTTGCAGTGGGGACGTTGTTTCCCCCAAATCACCCCAGCCCTGGTTTTTATGGGATTTAGCAGGGACCTGGGGCACTCTCCCACACTTTGTCTAGTCTCCAGGCCTGGTTATAAGGAGCTTAGCCGAGGACTTCCCGGGAGGGAGCTCCGTCGACACACCACCAGCCAGCCTGGAGCCAGGGATCCGTTCGTAGTTTTTTGACAACTGACCATTTCTCTTCTGTACAGGACAGGATAAAAACTTCCTTATGATTTGCACCTGGCATTCTGAGGCTGATTCTGGGGAAATGCCCCTGTAGACCCAACAGGGATGAGGGTCTGCCTGGGTGGCCCAAATGCGTCTCCCTCTGGAACTGAGTTCCTTAGCTACTGCGCCGCTCCTTGGGCCTGAACTAGCTTCTCCTCCAACCCAGTGTCCAGCCCTGCCCAACCAGGGAGCCACAGAGGGCACTAGCACTACCGCGCCTCGGTGCTGCAGCCTCGGCCCCTGGCCAGTCGCCCTGAGCTTGGCAAAGCGGGGCAGGGCAGCTGGAGCCGGCCTGGGGCTCAATAGACCTCTGTTTGGCCTCCTGTCCCTGTCCCAGGCTGCAATTCCGAGACCACCCCTTTGGGTCCGCGGTGCGAAGCCGCCACCTGGTGGCCTGGAGAGGGATTCATCCTGGCTTCTCCGACGCTCACACTGGAAGGGCCGCTCTGAGCCCGTCACAGCAGGGCCCTCGCTGCAGAGCCCGCGGGGTGGCGCGAGGGAGCCGGAGACACGGTGGGTCCTTGTTTCCTCTAGATTGGATCAGAAGGCTTTTAGCGCATGGGCGGGGCTGGAGCAGTCCCCAAAAGAAATGCTGAGCCGGGCGAGGTGGAGCAGGCCTGTAATCCCAGCACTCTGGGAAGCTGAGTCAGGAGAATCGCAGCAAACTCGAACCCAGCCTGGGCTATTTAGCGAGACCCGCTCAAAATTTTTAAAAGGATTGGGAGGTAACTGTGAAGCTCCTGTGTTCACATTCCTGGTACCGCAAAACAAAACCTTCTATAGAAAGTTGATAGCTGTAGTTCAAAAGCGCGGACCAGGTCCAGGGATGTAGCGCAGTGGCGCCGCGGCCGTGCCTGCCTTGCAAGCGCAAGGTCCTGAGTTCGATCCCCGGTACGGGGATGTGGGGGGCACGCGCACCTGAGCAGGCGTCTTGGAAGAAATTAGAGCCTCGGTGGCCTCATACCCACGTCTCAGGTTCGCCCTGTGTTTATTCTGAGTTACAACCTGGTGGGAGGAGGTGTCAGGATCTCAGACCCCACCCCTAGGGGGCCCCTCGCTAGAAGCCCCGAGGAAGAGAAATCGACTTGGTGGCCTCCCACCCAGAGTTGGAGTGCGGCAGCCACTTTCAAGCATCAGGCGCGGGGCGCTCCGGCGTCACCGAGGGTCGTGGGCACGGGCTCTGGGGTTCCGGGCCAGGGCGCCGGTCAGGTCTCTTAGCCGAGCGGAAGGGGTGCTGCACCCACGAAGGCGCCGGGGTCTTCGGAGAGGGGCTCCACCGCACAGGGAAGCCGGGGGTTCCGCAGAGGGAGGGTCCTGGGGAGCCGGCCGGGCGGTGCCGCGCGCAGAGGGGGAGGCCCGGGGGGCGGGGCCCGGGCGCTCCGTGCGGTGGGAACCGCGGGCCCGCGGCGGGCTGAATGGGCTGGGGCGGGGCGCCAATTCTCCTCGCTGCGAGGGGTCCGCGCTGCGCCTGGCCGACGGCGACCTTCCCACCGAGGCGCTGCTGGGGGCGGGCGGGTGCAGGCGGCCTGCACGCCCCGGGGTCCCTGAGAAAGGGGCGCGGCCCGGGGCGGCCTCTCCCAGCGACTGAGGGCGGGGCGGGAGGGGCCAGGAAGCCGCTCCCGCGCTCACGGGTGCAGCGCCCACCAGGCCGCGGCCGCCCCAGACCTAGAGCTGGCGAGCGAGGGTCCCGCGGTCACCGAGGGTGCCTGCAAAGTAGTCTCTGCGGCACCAGCCAGACCGAGTCCCCTGCAGTGGGAGGCCCAGCCTAGGGCTCACCAGGGGCGCCACACGCGCGGCCCCGGCCCGGGGCTCTCGGCTTGGCGGCCCGGCGCTGGCTGCTGGGCAGGGACGTTGGTGGAGCCAGGGAGACCGCGGGGGAGGAGGAGCCGGGGGGACAGGGGGCGGGCCGGGGCCGGGGCCGGGGCGTCGGGCCCCGGGCGGGCGCTGTCCGTGGTGCTGCCTCCCGCGCGCTCGGGCGCCGGGGCGAAGCACGGGCCGCCGCTGCCCTCCTCGGCCCGCTGCAGCAGCTGGTTCACGCCGGGCAGGCAGCCTCGGAAGCCAGACGGAGATTCGGCTCCGCTGGGCATGGGCCAGAGCCCTGGAGGAAGGGAGGGGAGAACGGGAGAGGGGCGAGAGGAGGGCAGAAGTGTGGAGAAGAGCGGGGGCGTGAGGCACCTGCAGGCGCCCCCAGATGCAGGCCGCAAACACCCTTCGGCCAGCCGGACCTTCCTGCAGCTCCCCGCCCGAGTGCCGGCCCCACCGAGCTCCCTCCCCGCCTGTCCCACCTGGCGTGGTTCCTGCAGCTTCAGTCCCACCGAGGTCCTCCCGCTCCCCGCCCCAGCCCTTCCAGGCCCCACGCGCCCTCCCACCTTGCAGCGAGCTCTGAAGGCTCTTCATGTACTTGACGCTCAGCTCCAGGACGTCTGCCTTTTCCAGCTTGCGCTTCCGGATCTGCGGGGCAGAAGGGAGGGCTTAGCCCGCAGACCGAGGTGGGGGAGGGGCGCGGAGGCCGCTGATTCCCTCCTGCTCCCCACGTCCCACCTGGTGCGAGTAGTGCTTCTCCAGCAGCGACCTGAGCTGCTCCAACGACAGGTTGATGCGCGCCCGGCGCTTCTTCTCCATCAGAGGCTTGGAGATCTGCTGACCCGCAGCGTTTAGGGATCAGAACCCAGCCTCCTCGCTCTCCACCCCTCCAACCTGAGGAGGAACCCGCACTCCACGCCCCTCGGGACCCCAGACCTTTCGGAAGCTGACGGCAGGGCCTCTGGGGCTTCCCTGGGAGGTGGGCTCCATGCCCATATTGCAGTATCTGTGCCAGTGGGACACAGTGCCGCCTTTATAGGGGACCTTCGTTTACATGTCAATGAGGCCCTCGATCTCAAAACCCCCAAGGAGGAGGGACCGATGGGGATGCCGAGGGGAAGGTCCCCCCTCCCGTCCCGGGCCTCTCCTCCAGTCCGGCTGCCTCTGGCCTTCAGGAGCCCTCCTCCCTCCCCAGGGACCCTCTGCAGCCCTTCTGTCTTTTCCCTCTCTTTCCCCCACCACTTTCCAAGTCAGGGGACCCCTGCCAGGCCCATGCCCATCACGCCCTGTAGGTTTGGGACCTCGCGTTTGGGTCCACCTGTCAGGTCTGTCCAGCCCCTTACTCTGAGGACCCTGAGGTCTGAGAGTCGCAGGGCCCCTAGTGACCCTGACAGAGCCCCTTGGGCCTGATGAAGATGCCGAGTCGGGGAGTGTGGGCCAGTGATGCTTTGCTGCTTGCTTCACGCTCTGGCCAGACCGAGACACCGCATTAGCTGCCCTGATGTCGGGACAATGCAGCGATTTTCTGCCTGTGGCTGCTCAAAGCCGGGTGCAGGCCGGGCCCTCTGGGCCGATGCAGCAACATGTGTCCCATTAAAGCATGCAGCCCACCCGCGGGCCACAGCGGGCCTCTTTGCTGGGACCTTGGGGCTGGCAGTGCCAACATCGTTAGGACCCAACCTAAACTTGGGCCGAATGCCACCCACACCCGGGGCCCCAGTGGAGAAGGAGTGGGGTTCCACCCCTGTGGGCCTTCTCTGAGTCCCACAGATGGGCAGTGGGCATGGAGAAGACCACTGGTACTCTGAGGAGATCCAGCTTGCACTCTAGGGCCCTCCACCCCTTTCCCGTTATTTGGGCTGTGGGGCCAGGGAGCCCGATGGAGGAGGGTCCGTAGCAGGATTGCACAGTGCCCCTACCTGGCTCCCAGGAGCCCAGACTCCAGCAGTTGGATAGGAGGGCTGAGCTCCTGGGGACTGTTCAAACCTCAACACCTCCCTTTGGTGGTTCTGCTGGGCCTAATTTTGGGGTTTGTGACATGGAGTTCCCGACAGAGTATCCCCTGTGGCTGTGAGGCTGACATCGAAGTCGAAGACGTTCTACAGTTGAGCTCTGTGGCCGAGGGAGGAACCAGTGGCCCTCCGTGTGCGCAGGGGAACTGCTGGGTCTGAGGCCTCGCCTCCCCAACCGGCCCGATGAGCCCTGGCGGCCCGCACATTCCCAGGCACCGGGCAGCATGGAGAATCGCGCCCCGCCCTCCCCTTTCAGGCTGGTGCCCGGGTGACAGCAGCTCAGGGACATTGTCCTGCCCCCCGCCCCAGGGCCCGCGGGCCAGCTCCGGGCCGATCCGGAGCCGGGAGGGCGGATGGCGGCAAGGCCGAGGCCCGGTGCTGGGCGCTGGCACGCGCCGGGCGGCTTTGAAGCGCCAGGGCCGGCGGCCTCCGTGCGCCTCGCTGTGCTCTCTGGCGCTGGCGGCGCTGCACAAAGGCGCGGCGGGGCGGCGGGGCACAAAGGGGGCAGCCGAGTGTTTAGGGCATTGTGCCGGCCCCACAAAGCGCCGCCCGCGCCCCGCCTCCTCCGGGACAAACCCCGGGCGCCCCGCCGCGGGCCTCCAGCTGCTGCACATCTGCCCGGAGCCCGGGCGCGCGCCTCGCCCCGCCTCGCCCCTCTGCCCAGTCCTCCAGCCGCCGGGCAGCGGGGCAATTTGTCTTCTAATTACCGTCCTTCTCCGTAGACCGCCGCCCAAGCCTTTCAGTCGGGCGCATTAGCAAACCAAGGAGCGGCCCACGCAGCTCCGGAGCCCGCAGCGGGGCCCGGGCCCGCCCCACCTGAGTTGGCGCCGGTCCCGCCCGCACCCTGGCCCTCACCGCTCTGGGGCCACCACCCCTCCGAGCCCGTGACCAGCAATATCGCGGAAGCACTGGGTGGAGCCGCTCACGTGGAGGCTCTGTGTTTCTTAGGTAGTGGAAAATTGACCGCAAAATGCGCTAATTCGCAATGTTCTGCTCGGCTGCGGGAGACGGGACTCCCAGCGTTGCGCTCCGCCAGGCTTCACTTACGGCGGCTGGGCCTCTGCGCCCCACCTCCCCTCGGCCAGGTCTCCCCGCCCGCACCGACGCTGCTACTCTCAGGACCTCCTCTGCCGCCACCGCGGGCTGAGGGCGGCCCAGGATCCGGGCTGGATCGGACTGTGGTGCCCTCGAACTTTGAAACTCTGAGACTCCCATCCTTCCCGCCCCTTCCACTGGGGCCCAATTCGAACTCCTCTCTCCTGCACCAGCGCCCCTTTCTGAGTTAAGGCCAGATCCTTGTACCCCGCAAGATCCGGGGGACAGAGAGAGAAGTCTGCCCCGCTCCTGCCCAGAGCCCCAGGCTGAGCTCTTCCCCCTCCCCACTTGGTTCCGGGTCCCACGCCAGGCAACCTACCCGCAGGCCGGGCTCCACAGGGGCAGAGCCAGGAGAAGCACTTTCTTTCGGGGCAGGCGAGGCAGCGGATTGCTCTGTCCTCTCTGAGAGCAAGCAGGACAAGGTGCTCTTGGGCTGCTGGGAAGGTTGTGGCCCAACTTAGCAACCGGGCTCACACAGAGCGGGATGTAGGCCACCAGGTCTTTTCCATTTTAACACCCGGGTCCCGAGGGGCCCGGAAATGAGCACAGGCCCAGCAGGAGCGCTGGGGAATCCAGCCACCCCAGCCCCATTCAAGGAAAAATTTCCTAATCCTGAGGGTTCTCAGGCTCCTTCTTTTCTCAGCCTGGGAATTCAAGCAAAATGTAGCCTGGGTCTTTGAATTCACTCCTGTTTGGCTTTCTTGACTTTGGCAAAAGAAAAACCACTGAACTCTGGAAATGAGGTGGGGAGGGGTCTGCAGACCCCAGGATAAGAGCCTGCCAGATGTCCCACCTCCCATCCGAGGGGACAGCCCTGCGTGGCAGCCCTTCCTTACTGCACTTGTGGGCATTTAAACCAATGCTAAGCACCAGGTGTGGCGGTATATTTCTGTAATCCCAGCACTCTAGAGGCAGAGGCAGGAGGATGCTGGCAGTTGGAGGCCAGCCTGGGGTACATGAGTTCCAGGCAAGCCTGAGCTATGCAGTGAGACCCTGTCTCAAAACAAACAAACAAACAAAACAGTACCAACTGCCCAGCCGTGTGCAATCTATAGTAAATGCCAGGAACTGAAGGGGAAATGTGTTCTTCCCCTCCACCCCTCCACGATTCATTTCAAAGTGGACTGAAATGATTGCTCCATGTAATTAACTGTGAGGACACAGCAAAAGCCCCAAAATGACTCGGCCAATTGTCTCCAGATGGGGCTGGAGAGACTGCGATTGTTTAACTCTCTTTAGCGACGTTGAGCGTCCCAATAGCCTGGCAGCCGAAGACCCTTCAAGGGACAAAGGCGGGGACTGCAGGGAGTACATCAATGCTGACCAGGCCGGCCCAGCTCGGGAGGGTGAATTCCGAGAGACCCCCATTGTCCCAGCCTTTTGTGTCTCTTTCCAGCTGGCTCTAATCTTTAAATATTTACCCGGCCCCTTTGTGCACACATGACTTAGGCACTTTGGGCTGGTGGGCTTCTACATCACGCACCATTTACCGTTTCTAGACTGAGAGAAGGGGTTTTCAGTCCTCCAAGCACGAATGGCCAGAGGAATCCAAAGGAAACTTTTGAAAAACTGGGGTTGTCTCCTGGGGAGAGCAGAGTCCAAGCTGGCTAGGGCCTCCCCACTGCCCTCCTGGCTGCCACGTGTTCACCTGGACAGGGCAAAGACCTGTGAGTGACTAGTTGCTGCAGAGTGGCCCTCTAAAAATGACTGACCTGCTGGATGTGCTGGCGCACACCTGTGATCCCAGCACTTGGGAGACTGAGACAGGATGATCACTGTGAGTTTGAGGCCAGCCTGGGCTACACAGTGAGTTCAAAGCCAGCCTGAACTATATAGCAAGACCCTGTCTTAAAACAACAACAGCAAAGGACCGACCTAGCAAACATCGGTGAGGAGGAGGGAGAGGTGAGCTTCCGGGATGTTTTTCCTGCTTGGATAACACAAGAGTCAGGAGCAAACTTGCACCCAGGGAAGCTGTCAGCTGGGTTGAGGTACTCGGTTATCCAGCAATGAGATGCAAGAATGTCTCATCCCGCCCATGCCCTGCCCCTCCTGGCTGTTACCCCCCCCCCATTCTGTCTTGCTCAAACAGCAACACTGTTTAAGACCTGGAAACTTAATTTCATGTTCACCTTGGAAGTGTCAGGTGGCTTAAGATACTTGGAGTATCTCAGGGCTGCCTAAAACCAGAGGGGAACCCACTGGGGCCCAGGGAGGGAAGCAGCTTTAGCCAGTGGCAGGACGGCAGGCTGGGGAGGGGGAGGGGCTGCAGAGGGACCCCACTGCATGAGAAAGGGCTCCCTTTGTGCCTCTCTGAAGCAACTAGAACAAAACTCATTCAAATGCTTATTTACAAGGCCAGGCCAGGAGGCATACCCTGGCTGAGTGCGTCCCCCTTCTTTCTAGTGGTAGGTTTGTCCTTCCCTGAATCCAGACAGCAGGGTGCTCACCCCGTGGGTTGGCTTCATCAGATTGCTTTCCTCGCTGGTGGGAAAGTAGGTAGTCTGCGTTTCCCTGTGTGCACGCGTGTGTACCTCTGTGTGTGACGGCTTCGGTGCATACATGCATGCCTGGGTGTGCACCAATTTACTTTTTAGTCTCTCCTTCATCACTGCTCAGTAAGCCCTGGGCCCTGACAGATTTAGGAACTCCAACAGCTTCTAAAACTTGTGCTTCCCCGGAGTCTGGCCCCGCTTGGGTGGAGTCTGCGTCCGTCCATTTTCCTTTCCCATCTCCAGGACGGCTCTCCAGTCTGGTTACACGTTGCTTCATGCCCCAGGGAAAATGGCAACAGCCTCTCTAGAGAAACCAGGGCCCTACGAGTATGGAGAACAAACGCTCTGGGACAGAGGAGGCGCTTTTCCCGAGGGAAGTGGTTGGCGTTCCAAGGGCCAAGCTCCCTCCCCGACTTGAAGGTGCGACATGCGCCCTCTAGTGGCCCTAAGGCGTCCTGGCGCAGAGGAGAGGTCCCAGCCGGGGAAGCCTTAAGAAACTGAGGACGGAGAACCCCAAGTCACAGTAAAACCCAGGCCACCTTAAATGGCACGGCAACTCGGAGTCTTTGGTTTTCAAAATTCTTTCTCTTTCCAATTTCCATCACCTAAGTTTAGCAAACGTCTCTTGGGCACCATTTCGGCATGGTACCAGGCGTTAGAGAACAAATATCACCCTATACCAGTGGAAGCAGGACCTCATTTTACAGAAAGCAGAAGTTCACAGGGCCGGGGATTTAGCTCAGAGCTCAGTGGTTCTGCCGCCTGCCTCCCAAGCCTAAGGACTCGAGTTCGATCCCCGGTACCAAAAAAAAAAAAAAAAATGGAAGTTCACAGAATTGAGTTTCCGAGGTCACAAAGCCGGGGTGCAGCGCGTGCCCACACCCCATCACGTTCCCGGACAGTAGGGCTTGCAGGGACAGAGAAGACACCAGGGGCTGGACCCAGGGTTCACACTGTGGCCTCCACTCTCAAATCACTGCCCTCCAGCCTGTCCCTGCCCCGCCTCTGTCTTTCAAATCCAACCCCAGCCCCCGCTTTGCCCCCATTTCCAGCAGCAGGCCCTGCCAATTCCTCAGGGACACAGGCCTGGCCCCAGCATCTTTTCCATGCAGCCCCTGGCCCTGGAGCCCTCCTGCCTCCAGGCTCTCCAGGGTCCTCTTGCTCATCCCATCCTTGCCTTCTCTCTCCCACCCTGCACTGTTTATCCTAGCTTGTTCCTTACTAGCCTTTCTCCTCTGCAGCTCTCTGGGGTCCCTGGGTTATCAACCTTTACAGAGCTACTGTTTGGTAAGAATAGAGTCCAGTGTCCTATAGCTTGGGGGTGAATGTAATTAATAGTGATACTAATATAGGGGAAATAATATAACTCCCAACCTGCTAGATGTCAGATATGCCGAGTTTAAATTTGTGATGGGGCAGGGATTTAGCTCAGTGGTTCCACTGCCTGTTTGGCAAGAGCAAGGTCCTGAGTTCGATCCCCAGTACCAAAAAAAAAAGAGTATAGGAAGTTTGTGTTCCCCCAAATTGAAGAATGAATCCTAAGGAACAATGGAGGTTAAGAGTAGGAAATATTTGAGAAAGAGAGAGAGAGAGAGAGGGAGAGAGAGAGAGAGAGAGAGACAGAGAGAGAGAGCACTCCTGAGAGACAGGAGAGGAAGCCAAAGTGGGTTGCTGTGGACCCCACCTCTCAGAGAAGGTTTTTCTTGTTTTATGTTTTGTTTTGTTTTCAGAGGAAGTTTTATAGAGCAAAACCATGAGGTGGGTCAAAACTATAATCAACAAGATCACGAGGTGGGTCAAAACTATAATCAACCAATAAGATTACAAGTACAGCTGCTTAGGTAATATTATCCAGTGGGAAACCAGGTCATGTAGCAAGTGTATATGGTAAAAACAAAGAGCTTTTTGGGCCAGGGATTTAGCTCAGTGGTTTCACCGCCTGCTGCGCAAGTGCAAGGACCTGAGTTCGATCGATCCCCGGTACCAAAAAAAAAAAAAACAAACAAAGAGCTTTTTAGGACCCAATGGATCTAAAGGTCCTGTTCACCCAGGTGACTGATCAGGGTGACTGATGTCTAGCTAGACTTTATTGGACCAGGTAATACTAATTATAGTATATTGCTTATCCCCTGGGGAGGTCTGGTCATTCCGTCTTTATCTTGAGGCCTGGCCCTCAACAGATGTGCTGCCACAGCTGTGATGTATTCTCATCCTCTACACTGACTCCCTCCAGGGCCCAGCCCTGTCTGACTGCCTAACTTAGCTGTCTATAATAATACAATACATACCTCAAAACACTGTAGCTAGGAGGCAGGAATTTGAATGTACTCTCCATAAAGAAATGAGTTTATTTTGCGGTACTGGGGATTGAAACCAGGGAGGGCTGGGCTACATCTCTAACCCCTGTTATATTTTTCAGACAGGGTCCCGCTAAGTTGCCCAGGGTGGCCTGGGACTTGCCATCCTCCTGTCTCAGCCTCCTGAGTGGCCCGGATGTTAGAAGTTGAAAGCGGTGAGTGTTTCTCTAAAGGCACCACCTTTAAATCATTGTGGCAACATTTCAATTGTTTCCCCAGACTCACGTGTGTGCTTCTCTCTCCCCCAAGTGAAATCGGGATCGCAAAGCAAAGTTTTGCGTTCTGCTTTTGTAGAAACCGCGGAACCTGACAGCCGCCCCGCCGCCCCCGTCCTTCTGCGCGGGGAACCGGCAGCACGGCCGCCGGCGCACCGAGGGCGTCGGGGGCGAAGAGGGGCCGGGGTCATTTCTAATCGCGAGTTGTTCCTCGAGACAGAGCTTTGTGGAGTTTGGGGCTCTCTCGTGGCAGACGCCCTCGGCAACTCCGGGCCATCCCCGAGCCGCCAGGGCCAAGGGGTGCCCAGGCGCCGGCGGGCGGGGCCGGCGGGCGGGGCGGGGCATTCTTGCCAAATTTGGGCCACCGACCTCGAGGGCCGTCATTCTCGCGAGAGCTCGCAGGCGGCGCGCAGTTCCGGGCAGCTCCCTTCCCGGCCAGCGTCAACGGCGCAGTGCGCAGGCGCGGCCGGCGGGTTTCCCGGGCTACCGTCCGCGCCCGCTGTCCGCCGCCGGCTGCTCCGCCGCCTTGAGCCATGGCGGGCTGTGCGGCGCGGGCTCCGCCGGGCTCCGAAGCGCGCCTCAGCCTGGCCACCTTCCTGCTGGGCGCCTCGGTGCTCGCGCTGCCGCTGCTCACGCGCGCCGGCCTGCAGGGCCGAACCGGGCTGGCGCTCTACGTGGCGGGGCTGAACGCGCTGCTGCTCCTGCTCTACCGGCCGCCGCGCTACCAGGTTCGGGCAGGCGGGAGCCGGGGTCGGGGCCGGGCTCTGGATCTGCACCGCACTGGCGGGAGTCGCGCTCAGAATCGGGACCCGGCAGGCAGAAGTCGGGGTCGCGGCCGGGTGGGCGGGGGTCAGGGCGGGGGTCCCGCGCGACTTCGCTGGGCTTGGGCGCCCTTCCCGCAGGCCCGGGGCGCCTCCCACGGGCGTAGTCCTCAGTCGGGGAGCGACCCCGCCTCCGGGCCGTGGGTGTTACCTTGCAGTTAGTGCGGCTCAGCAGCTGCGGCAGATGCGCGGGGCGTGGGAGCGAGCGAGCCCAGGGGCTCTTTTATGTAATGTCAGGTGTGGGGGCTCACCTAGTGGCGAGGCTGAGGTCAAAGGCCCAGGTTCTTGGAGGTGGGTGGCACTGAGACTCGGGTGTCCCGACCAGAGTCGCTGACTTGGGAACATTGGCTCAAGCCGGATAAACAAGTTTAAAGCAGTTTTCCTACAGACCTGATAATAATAGCAGTAATAATAATAATGACAGCTACAATGTTACACGGGTAGTCCTCACAGCAGTCCTGAAAAGCCCGTAGGATTGTTACTATGTGGTCTCAGCACACCTAGGTCCAGAGAGCTGAAATATAAGGCCTCATAGCCAGAGCGGTCTGGTGCAGGATCTGAAACCCAGGTGGCCCCACTTTACACTCTCACCCCTGTGTACATGGGTTCCCCTTGCCTGCCAGTGACCCAGGAGGGTCAGGAGGCTGGTTCTGGACTCAGAACAGCCGGTGACCGGCTTCTTTTGGGTCTGTTTCAGATAGCCATCCGAGCTTGCTTCCTGGGCTTTGTGTTCGGCTGTGGCATGCTGCTCAGTTTCAGCCAGTCCTCTTGGAATCACTTTGGCTGGTGAGAAGTCCTGGGGGGTGATGGCGTTGAGGCGAGGGTGGACAGTGCAGAGGGTCAGTAGTGGCATTTCCTTGTCCCTGTCTCTTCCCTCTGATGGGCAGGCAGAAGGCTGCTTAGGGTCCTTCCTGTCTTCCTCCTAGACGTGCACAGTTCGGACTTTGCACGCGTGTGCCCACTGGTCGACCTGTTGCAGACAAACAGAGGGCACTGTCCACAAAGGTGCCCTCACCCAGCATTCAGTGAGGTGCCAAGCCCTTCCTGGAAGGGGTTGCAGGTCCTCGGTGATGGGAAGGGGCAAGACTCTGGCTGGCCTTCCTAAGCCTTTTCCATCTCCAATTTCTATTAGGTCACGGCTAGTGCACCCCCTCAGCCACAGTAGGATTTTTCCCTACACTATGATTTCAGTCCCTTGAGCCTTCCAGTCTCTGACCTGGATATGAACCATGGCTTCAAGGTAAAGAGCTTTATCTCCTATTATCAGTATGCTGAGCCATCTAATCCTTCTTTGCTGAAATTATTTTATTAGTTTTGTTGAATTTTGTTTCCAACATACATCACTACTTTATGTTGCTATTTCTCTTTCATTTAAAAATCTATATTGTCATTTTACAAGGACATAAAGGCCTGTAATATCTCCTTCACCTATGGAGATTATTTGGGGTTTTTTTGTTTTTGTTTTTGTTTTTGTCTGTGACATTCAAAATCATAACAACTCCATTTAAAACCCCACTCTGTGCAAACCAGAGGGAGTATGCTATGCATCCGGGTGCGTGGTGTCCCCACAGGCAGATTTTAACAGGACCTCATCATAGAACCAGGGACAGTTCAGATCCAGATCTACTTTTACTTCTGGCTAACTTGGTTCCCTTGCCCCAGTTTACCGCTGTTTCTTTTTAAATAGGTATGTGTGCTCGCTGTCATTGTTCCACTATTCTGAGTACTTGGTGACAGCTGTCAATAATCCCAAAAGCCTGTCCCTGGATTCCTTCCTCCTGAATCACAGTTTGGAGTACACTGTTGCTGCTCTTTCTTCTTGGATAGAGTTCACCCTTGAAAATATCTTCTGGCCAGGTTAGTGTGCCCTACTTTCCCTGCTGGCAGCGAGAGAGGCGCTGCACACGTGCAGGATGGTGACATTGTTTCACCTTTCAGGCCTAATCTCCCCTGGGTGATTGTCCCCAGCCCTCTGTCCTCTTCACTAAGCTATTTATAAAGGATGGGCTCCGCTTGAGAATTCCGCTTCTGGATTTCAAATCGAGGACATGTTGACCTTTTGCTTTAATCCTTGCATAACATAGTGCACCATCTAAAATGACATCTCCGAGGTGGGTGTACCCTGACTGTTCATTTTCTGTGACAGGGGAAATCTCACATGAAGTTTTTATTAGCAGAAACTTCTGCCTGTGGAGCCCACTCTGAAATCAGACTTCCTGTAGCTGATGAAAACAATGGATGTGGCTCCCAGTTTTCAGGGTAGAAACCTGGTCCTTCGCTTTTCTCACCTGGACTTGTCCCAAAGAGAAGGACACAAGCCTGTGGCTGTGAGCCCAGAGGGGGAGACTGCTTTGCAGTTACAGTGCTCTGTTTTCTCCTCTGTGACTGTACTATGCTGACAGACACTGACAGCCCCAGGGCGCGTTTTCTTTTTTTTTTTTTTTTTGGTACCAGGGATCAAACTTGGGACCTTGCGGTTTCTTGAGCCGCTGCTTTCGAGGCAGGCGCCTGAACCACTGAGCTAAATCCCTGGCCCTGGGGTGTGTTTTCTAGTGCTTCTGTCCTCAAGCAAATTGTTCCCTGTAAGCAGCGAAGCGGGGCCTGAACAGTCTGCTGTCCTCACTCCTGAGGTCCCCGATGTGTCTCTCTGCAGAGCTGAAGCAGATCACCTGGCTCAGTGCCATGGGGCTGCTCATGGTGGTCTTTGGTGAATGCCTGCGCAAGGCTGCCATGTTCACCGCCGGCTCCAACTTCAACCACGTGGTGCAGAATGAGAAGTCAGACACCCACACGCTGGTGACAAGCGGGGTGTATGCTTGGTTCCGGCACCCTTCCTACGTGGGCTGGTTCTACTGGAGCATTGGAACCCAGGTATGGAGTCAGATACAACACTGGTTGCCAAATATAATTGATAGGCTATAAAATTCATCGTTTGAAAGATAGAACTCAGTCTCTCGTACTGTATTCATAAGGTTCTTGGTCTCCTTCTGTATTCCCTGGCGTGTTTCTTTTTATTTAGACAGGGTCTGGCTATGTACCTGTTTTTTGAGACTGGGTCTTGTTAATGTAGCCCAGGCTGGCCTCAGACCCACAGCAGTCCTGCCTCAGCCTCCCAAGTGCTAGGATCACAGGCATGTGCCACCACACCTAGCAAGAAAATAAACTTAGTCCTTAAGGTTTTTACCACATACTTAAAATCTGGGCATCATACAGCCTTGGTGACTCTCCATGCTGCCACTCCTTGCCATACCCCTTTGCCTCCTAACCTAGATCTGCAGCACCCCAGCGGGGGAGGAGAGGTGGGGTTACGGGAGGCCGCTCCCTCAGCCACTTATGGGTGGCTCAGTGGGTTTGCATCAGAAAGCGGGCTTATGAGGCCATGGTTTCAGGTTAGGCTAATGAGTGTGGGGGTTTGTTCCATCCCAGGACGTGGGCCTTGTTTGTTTGTTTTTGTTTTTTGGTACCAGGGATCGAACTCAGGTCCTTATGCTTGCACAGCAGGTGGCGAAACCACTGAGCTAAATCCCTGGCCGTCTTTTTTTTTTTAAGACAGGGTCTCGTTATGTAGTTCAGGCTGGTCTTGAACTCACTGTGTACTCCAGGTTGGCCTTAAACTGGTGGCAATCCCCCTGCCTCAGCCTCCCGAGTGCTGGGATTACAGGTGTGCCAAGCCCTTGTTCCTTTATGGCTGTCCCTTGATTCTGTACCCTTGGACTTAGGAAAACTTGGCCAGGGAACGTGAATAGAATTTGGACCATGCATTCCGTCTTTGGGGAAATCTAGTCAAGGTTCCTGGCATCCCCAAGGACTCTGGTGAGCCCCAGTGATGTGTAGAAGGGACAGATAGCTGCACGCCATTTCTTTTTAAATTGTATTTTTAGCCGGGTGTGGTGGTGCACGCCTGTAAGCCCAGCACTCTCGGAGGCTGAGGCAGGAGGATCCCAAGTTCAAGTACAGGCTGGGCAGTTTAGCAACTTAGCAAGATCTTATCTCAGAATAAAAAATGAAAAGGGCTGGGGATGCAGCTCAGTGCAAAAGCCCTGGGTTCAATCCCCAGTGCCGCAAAAACCAAAACAAACCAAAACAAAACTTCTTTTGGTACTCTCACCTTGGCAGCCACATTCCCTGAGAACAGGCTGGTTATAGCCAGTGAATGTGAGTCACCCCAGACGCTTGATTACCTCGTACCTTTTAGGCCACAGGTGTCTTTTACGTTGCACCCAGCACCTGTGTGTATAAATAGCTTGCCTTTCCTACACAGTGGACCCTTGACTCATGAACTCAATTTGTTCCCGAGGGCTGGTGTAACTCAGGTTGGACAATTGAAGGCTCAGGCTCCTCTGCTCAGCCTGCAGAGTCTCTCTCCTGTGCACAGGCGGATCTCAGTGTCCTCAGAGAGACATTGGCCCGGGATTTCTCAGTGAACCCCACACAGGAAAGGATGCTGTCATGCTCCTTCCAGAGCTCTTTAGGGGTTAAGTCTGTATCTGAGACCATCTGGAAGCACAGGCAGCTGGCATTTGGGTTTTAACTCAAGACATGGTCATAAGTTAAAACTAAACTTTCGGTCATAACTCATGTTGTGTGTATACCAGGCTGGTTGTAACTCGAGGGTCCACTGCACTAACCCTTCCCTCGCCTTCTCCAGAGCTTTGTTCCTGTCTTATCGGCAACGCTGGCCTTGACACTGGATCGAGTTCCTGGCTGAACAGCACTGTGCAGCCTGGGACTGGCACACGAGCCCCCAAGGGTGCCCAGAAAGGACCACGTGTCCCCGGGGTGATGCCACCAGCTCTGGGGTCACTGGCCAGGCTGCCTTCATCGTCTGCCGCTCACTGCTTTGCCTTTCCTCCCTCACACATCACGGGGAAGCTTTGTTGTGTGTCGAGTAGCTTCTCGGTGGTGAAGGGCTTGGCACAGAGCTGGGGACAGAGGAAGCATCGGTACGCAGTGCAGAGAAGTCGAGGTGTCTTCTTGGTTCTTGGGTCTCAGCACCAGCAGTGGGCGGGGTGCTTAGCGGGGGCCCCAGCAGCACAGGCAGCCTCTGAGGAGCAGGCTGTCGGCCTGGACAGACTGTTTGGCTTTGGCTCAGTGGGGAGAGGAGCCCAGGAGGTGAGGCAGGTAAAGGGGTACAGGGGGCTGCACGCAGCAGGCCAGGCACGTCTTGGCCAAGGCTTAGGCCCTGGAGCTGCCTGGGACCAAGTGACCTGTGGGAGGAGATTCTGGAAGCTCACCTGGGCTACCAGAATCTCAGCCCCGGGAGCCGGCAGTGGGGCCGAAGGCAGGACACGTGTGTCCGGGGTTGGGGCCCAAGACTGGCCCCCGCTGTCACACTCAGGCAGGAGGGCTCCCTTGCCCTGAGCTGAGGGCTGGAATCCAAGAGGTCGCTCTTGCCCCGTGGCTTGGGGCTCTCCCCCAAGAGGAACAACAACAGCAGGAAAAACCCCAGCCACAAGGGATGTGATGCCCTGAGTTCTGGTGATGACACTCAGGTCCCAGAAACCCCATCACTGAGTCTCCTGTGCCCACGGCAGGAAGCCCTGCAGCTATCAGAGGCAGGTGCTGGCGGCCGTGCTGGCCTGTGCCAGCCTGTGCCAGCCTGTGCCTGTGAGGCCCGCACTCCAGAGGCTGAGGCAGGAGGATCACCACAAGTAGAGAGCGGCAAAGGCGCTTAGCCACTGGCCCACTCCGACCCTGACCCCCTCGCTGTCTCCTGCCCAGGTGATGCTGTGTAACCCCATCTGTGGCGTTGTCTATGCCCTGACTGTGTGGCGCTTCTTCCGAGATCGGACTGAGGAAGAGGAGATCTCGCTGATCCACTTCTTTGGAGAGGACTACTTAGAGTACAAGAGGCGGGTGCCCACAGGCCTGCCCTTCATAAAGGGGGTCAAGGTGGAGCTATGATGGGGCCAGGTGGGGCCGACCGCCAGGACGGAAGCGCTCTGGTCGGCCACTGCAGAACGGATTTTCTTAATCATTTCCTGGGTCACTAACTACCCTTCTGCGGCGTCACCCAAGACCACATGGTCAGAAGGCCTTAGGAGGAACTCGGAGCGGATCACAGCAATATTCATCAGTGCCCCTTCCCAAGTGACCAGGTGAGGACCTGGCCCACACCTGCTGCTCCCGGGGCCACCCTGTGTTCGTGTGGCGTCCAGGCCTTGGGAGAGGCCCACACGGCTCAGCCGAGCATCTGCTGCACAGAGGGCGGTGGGTGTTGCCTCGTGTCAGCGTAAAAATGCACTGAAAACCTTTCCTTTCACCGAAAACCACAGTGCAGCTCTAACCTCTGTCGTGTCCGTTGATGCATGCACATCTCTGTAGCTGGAGACCCTTCCTCCTAACACTTGACCCTCATGCAATTAACCACACCGACACGTCTATTCTCCATGAATGGGGGCTCCCTGGGGCCTCCTAGCTCCAGCCTGTGTTTGCCAGCAAGTGAGCACAGGCCCTGATGCAGTTTGGCCGGTGGCTTCAGGTGACATGGGCCCTGTGAGCTTCCCCGGGGTCCTGGCTGCTGCTCTCCTCCTGTTACCGGTGACAGGCAGGTCACACATGTGTCACTCCCTTTATTCAGGAAGTGCTTGGTGGATGCCTGCTCTATGCAGACATTGAAATTCCTTGCTGTCCATTTATTTGGGATTCCATTCCCATTTTCCCACAGCTGTGTTTTGTCCCGTCTAAATCCACCCATCCAGCATTGTTTTCTGTTTTCTCTGCTGTCATAGTCACACCCTCCCCAGCCCCAGCCCCAGCCCCAGCGCCTTTCCTAAGGGGGTCCAGCGCATAAGCCGAGCAGGCAGTCGACTCCTGTACGTAATCTGAATAGAGCACATCCTCCCAGCCAGGGTGCTGTTGACATCTTCATCCCGCAGGTTCATGGAGAGGAGCTGGGTTTATAGGTCAGACAGAGCTGAGGCCCTTGCTTAATCCTTGGTGAGTCCTGGACGGAGGGGAACTGGGTTTTGCTGTGAGCCTCCCGCCCAGCTTTGGAGGAGCTGCCAGCCCCTTCGTGCATAGCTCCCCATCTGCGGAGTGGGACCCATACCACCTACCTCCCAGGGTGCTGTGAGGACCTCGTACCAGTGTCTGGCCTTTCAGATGCGACATGGTGCGGTTCTGTGGTGTAAGAGCTACACACAAACGTGCTGTTTGGTTACCTGAGCAGATTCCTAGTGTGTATATTCAAGAGTGTTTTACCAGCTCAGAAACATTGCTTATTTCTGGATTCCATTAATTTTCTCATTGTTCTAGATACCAAAGAGGCTCAGTGGGTTTGTTGATTACCAGCACCACCCTTGCTGGCTTCAGACCCATCAGCTCTTGAGACCTCAGAGGGGCTTGCAGGGCCCAAGCCCCCAGAGGGGGCCAGGCCTGGGGGCGTCACACACATCACTCAGTGTAGGAATGTGAGGCGAACTAGTCCCCAGCTTCCCCAGACCACAGTCACTGAAGCCGACGCCACCCACCAGGGCTGGGCTGGGGCAGGTGTGGTCGAGATGTTGGGAGTTGAGCGGCTTTGAGGGAATGTTCTTCCTGGCTGCATCCAAGCCTGGACGCAGCGTCCATTCCCAAGGGGCTGTGAGGTTGCCTCTTGGATGGACGGACGGATGGACGGATGGGTGGGGACCAGCTAATGACGGCCTCTGGTATTGTGCATGGTGAGGCGGGGTGTTGGCATTTTGATGCCATCCTCCATCTGCCAGAGGCCAGAAAGCCTGCCTCCATGCCAGACCCAGGAGTGAAGGGGCTCAGGCCTTGGGATTCTGCAATGCTGCCTCACGCCAGTGCCACGGAAAACGGCTCTGTGTCTTGTTCCGCTTTAAAGAGTATTCCAGGGGCATGGGCAGGGGGCATCCCCACGCTCATTACCACCCAGCGCAGCACTGGCCACCTCTGGTGTGGTGCTAAGTACAGAGACCTAATCGCTCTGCACAGCATGCAGTGGAGCCCTGGCTGCCACTGCTGCCAGGCGGTGCTCTGGGTGGTGGCCTGCAGGAGGCAGTGGCGACTCCTACCGCCAGGAGCCGGGGCAGCCCCAGCACCCCTTCCTTGGTGGGAGCCGCATCCGGAGCCCCACAGAACACTCTGGGAACTGCTGCCGTGTGCTCACCCCCGTCACTGGTGTGACAGGAAGTGGTTCGTAAGTCCGGCTCCCTGGTCTCAACGTGTTCAGGGCCCAGCGAGCCCTGTCCCCCTCTGCACTTTCCCGCTGCCTTAGGTAGCTGCGACCCCCACTGTACTTTGCTTCTTCCTTAGCGGCTCGGCAAGCTTAGGCAACCTCAGCCTCTCTGTCGCTGTGGGAAGTCCTTGCCCCTCCCGCCGTGGGGCCCCCGCCACAGGGAGGGACTTACAGAGTAATTATTCTACTCTTCCGTTTACACACAGAAATAAATGTTTAAGTATTTTCAATTGGATTTTCTTTCACAGATACTGATGATGCTTCCCAGTTCTTAAATCAATAAAACTATTTGATTTCACTAAGAGCAGCAGTGTGGTGGCGTGGCATGTCCAGAGCTGCCAGCCTGAGCCGGCGCCTGCCCCTGGCCAGTCAGGAGTCTGCATTCCCTGCGCCTTGCAGGTCTGAGGGGCTCTGATGCTCCGGGTGTGAACCTCGGCACTGTGTTTCCATCCTGGTCACAGGGCCTGTGCGCTGTTCAAACAACCTAATGAAGCTGGACATCTCCTCAACACGGGACTGGCTGGAGATCATTGTGGCCTCCAAGGCTTTTATTTATTTATTTTGGGTGCCAGGGATTGAACTCAGGGCTTTGCGCTTGCCAGGCCACTGAGCTACATTACCAGCCAGAGCTTTTACATTTTTAACTTGAAGTTAACTTTTTAAAGCATTTACTAAGCTACTCTTAATTTAAAGGGTACTGTGTAGAAATGGAAAATTACCAAGAATAACGGACTTCAAAAATGGGTTGCTGAGGGCCAGGGATTTAGCTCAGTGGTTTCACTGCCTGCTGCGCAAGCGCAAGGGCCCGAGTTCGATCCCTGGTACCAAAAAGAGAAAAAAAATCACTCCACAAATTCTTTTGGTTCCACTGCCTGCCTTGCAAGTGCAAACACCCAAGTTCAATCCCCAGTACAAAAAAAAAAAAGGGTTGCTGATAGCTGGCTGTGGTGGCATATACCTGTGATCCCAGCACTCAGAAGGTTGAGACAGGAGGATTGCCTAAAGTTCAAGACCAGCCTGGGCTACACAGTGAGTTCAAAGCCAGCCTAAACTACCCAATGAGACCTTGTCTCAAAAAACAAAAGGTTGCTGTGCCACGCATCCTACCTACCCAAGGGGCACATCAGAGAGTAATGGTAGCTTGGAACCAGAGGCTGTGGTGGGCATCCTGTGCCACAGGGCTGCCAGCAGCCTTCCCGGCTTCCCGAGCTCTGCCTGGCCGAGCCACTGCAGGTCCTGGGTGGACCCACCCGAGGCCCTGAGCCAGCAGTGGGGCTGTGGTTCAGGAGCAGCTAGATTCCTGCACCACAGGCCGGTGCTCCACAGTGCGTAGAGCCTGTCATGCCGGTGGCTGAGCAGGGGGAGCCTGGACACCTGACAGGCGAAGGGCCACAGGGGCTGTCACCTGCACGTGCACTGCTTGGACTGGGAAGGCCCAGGGCGAGCTTGTGGCTGTGACAGGACCAGGACTTCACGCCATGGGACCACAGAGAGGTGGAGCAGCCTGGCCCTGCAGTCTCCGGGGCTAACAACATGACTACCCTGTAAGCAAATGACCGGCTGGGCCTCAGGGTACCTGCCTGTCATCCCAGCATGAGTTGGAGGCTGGCACAGGAGGATCAGCATGAGTTAGAGGCTAGCCTGGGCTCCACCGTGAGTTCAAGGCCAGCCTGAACACACACACACACACACACACACACACACACACACACACACACACTTGCGTGTGCGGAGCTGGGGCGATGGCTCACTGGTAAAGAGACCCTGGGTTTCATCCAACCTAGGACTGCAAAATGGAAGGGTGTTAATGGGTGCAATCTAAGTGCCCCAGTCTTGGGTGCTCAGGTCCATTGCTAAGTCAGGCACCCTCTCCGGGTGGGCTCGCCACCCCCACTCTTCTGCTTGGCCCTGCGATGACTGCTGATCTTCGCCACAGCCTTTTCCTGGAGGCCGCGGGCGGCCGGTGCTTTGCCTTCTCCCTCTTGTCTGCAGTGTTTCCAGGATCACTCCTAAGGGATGGCTGCGCCTGAGCAGATCGACTCCCACCTCCCGCCTCCCTCCCAGGGAGGAGCCTCTCTGGGCCCCTGGGGGCCCGGCCATGCCCAGGGCCCATCAGGGATTCTCCTCACTGCCGAGCAGAGCTGTCTCCAGACCGCAGGGGCTCAGGAGGACACCAAGCTCTGCATCCTGAATCGAGGTCCTGAGCCTCGGTGGGTGCCCTGCCCCCACCACACCAATTCTAGGCAGATCGACAACCTCTAGACCCCTCCAGCCCTGACTATGATGCCGCCCCACCCTGAGGCTCCCCTGTTCTGTACAGAGCCAGACACAGACCAGCCTGTAACTACCTGATTGGTAAACCGGGTGTGGAGTGGAAGCCTGTAATCCCAGTACCAGGAAGGCTGAGGCAGGAAGATCTCTGGGACCAGCCAGAACTACCAGATGTGTTATTGCATATTCTCTGCCTCTGGCACGGTTAACACTGGAGGTCAGAGCTACAGCTCTCCGAGGTGTGAGGAATGCAGCAGCAGTCACATGCCTTTATCACTGTAAAGTGGTCCCACCAGAATCACATCTGCCAGCTAGAAAGTGGAGAGGCCCAGCCAGGTCACAGAGCTGGTCCCTGCAGGGGTCCCAAGAGGGCAGCGAAACCCACAGGCTTCCTCTATCCTGTGCCTGTCTCTAAAATCGATCACCTGCTTTACTTGGCCAGCGCCTTGCCATTCTTGTCATCGTACAGGCTGAGATTCTCTGACAGCTTGTCCCCGGGCGCCTGAAACCTGGGGGGAGGAAGCAGGTACCTGGATGCTGGAAGCCACAGAGCCAGGCTGCTGCGTGGCCTTAGGCTCACTGCCAACTGAGAGCCACGCGTGAGCTTCGTGCCTGTAATTCCAGTACTCAGGAGGCTGAGACAGGAGTTTGAGGCCAGCCTGGGCTACACAGTTTAAGGCCAGCCTGAACTACTTAGCGAGATCCTGTCTCCAAAAAATAATACTGAAGCAAGCTCTCTAGAGCCTTTTTTGGTCCTGGAATATTTACCAGGGTCCAGTGGCTTGCTAGGGCCTGGTCAGCCACCAGCTGTGGTAGTGGATAGGGAGATCAGGTCTGACTCTCCTGGAAGCTATGTGCTGGTCCAGGAAGACACCACAGGGCTGGTGTGGTACAGTGACGACCAGCAAGACTCACACTGACCAGGGTGCTCCAGGGCCTCTCTGCTGAGGCCGGCTAGGACCCGAGCGATGAGAACACAGGACACGGAAGCCGGAAGCTTCCAGGGTGGTGCAGGGCGGGGCAAGGGTGGCTCCCTTAGGGGAACACCCGGCAGGGCCACTAGCCCTGCTGCAATGGGAATCAGGCTTGGAAGAGGTCACAGCTGCGTGGCAGGCCAAAGGAGGCGGGGACGGTTGGCTCTGCCGGGGACAGAATGGGAGGGTTAGAAAAGGAGTCAGGTTGTCCCCGCCCGAGACAAGCTGGCAGACCTACATGCAGGCAGCATGGAGATTTTGCTGCCCCCTGCTGGAGCTGGGGCCACAGAGACACTGAGGCAGGGACATCCAGAAGGGGGATGCTGGAGGGGAGTGGACCACAGGGGAGCTCTGGCCGGAGAGCCCAGGGGGCCGGACTGTGACCCTTTGCAGTTGTTTTTGTGAGACAGCGTCTCACTATGCAGTTCTGGCTGGCCTCGTGGTGATCTTCCTGCCTCAGCCTCCCGAGTGCTGGGATTACAGACGTGCAGCACCACACCCAGCTTCTGACAGGATTTTGGGGATGCGCACCACCTGGTCTCAGGACCCTGGAGACCTGGCCCACCGACTTCCCCCGTCACCCTCTGGCCTCACCTGGGCTCCAGCCGCTCCTTCACCTTGGCAATGGAGCGCACGTAGGGTGTGATCTGCCTGGTGATGGTGGTCAGACAGGCGTTCTCCCGCCTCAGCCGCAGGAGGCCCTGGAGCTGGGCTGGGGGGCCAGGGCCAGGGGCGGTCAATCTAGGCGGCATCAGGCTCTTATTCTCCAGCCTGGGGCCGTGTGAAGATCCCCACTGTCCCTGCGGTCCTCTTGAATAGAGGCTGTGGCGTCTGGTGAGGCTTCTGCTTACTACACCCTGGCCTCGAAATCCCCAGGGCGTGGCACCCAAGCCCAGGGCGTGGCGTGCGGCCAGTTAGTGGCTCCCCCCGCCCCCCGCCGTTGATGTGCACGGGGTTCGGGGACCTTCGTAAATCTCCTGCTCCCGAGCCGCTGGCTGGTAGGACTCCTCCCAAATCGCAAGAGACAAGTGGGACGCTGGATGCGCGCCGAGTGGGAGTGTCCACTGTGGCACTGGTCGCGTGGCCGCTGAGAGCCCCTTGGTCCCCGCCACCACCCCTGCGTGGTTCCTGTTGGCGAAGACTTGGGGCCCCAGACCCTGCCAGCTGGGGGCCTCCCTCTTCCTCCCCTCCGTCCTGTCCTGGGGCGTCCGGAGGCAGGGGTGGTGGGGCTGGTCCTCGGGGAGCCGCTCCCTCCCGGAAGCCGGCTCGCAAGCCCGCGGTGCAGGCGTACTCCCAGGCGATGCGCCCGTCCAGCTCCAGGGCCGGGCCCAGGATGCCGCCCATGATCTCCGCCTTGATGAGGGCGTGGTGCTTGGTGAGGTCTCGGGGCAGCTCCTGGACCTGGTCCTTCAGGCTCTGCAGCGCCCCCTGCAGGCCCTGCGCGCAGAGGCGGCCTGAGCTCGGGTTTGTGCTGGGCGCGGGGGGCCTCGCTCGCAGGCAGCGCCAAGGAGCTGCGTGCGCGCTGGTGAGGACGGGCTGGCCCTACGCGGTACGAGTCCTCGTAGCGGCGGCCGTGCTCTGTGAAGGGCCTGTCCCCGACCTCCGCCAGCGGCGTGGGCTTCGAGACTGGCAACCCCGACATCTTTTCCTCTGGGAGGGGGCAGCTAGGCCCAGGCAGCTCTTTGAGCCCCGAGCCCCCTGCCAGCCTGGGGAGAGAGCAGTGTGGATCCTTGGGGTGGGGGGAGCGCCTTCCCCTCCCTAGCCCCCCAGGGTGACCCCTGCTACTCAGTGCTTCCCCAAAACCTGGCTGTAGGACCGCACCACCAGGAACTGGGGAAAGTCCCACCCAGTGACACACATCCACATGCCATTTTGTAACAGTGCTGGGGGTTGAACACGGGGCCTCCACACTAGGCTACATCCCAGCCCTTTCCGCTTTGACCCATGATCTCGCTAATTCACTAAATTGCCCTGGCTAGGTGCCAACTTGCAATCCTCCTGGCTCAACCTCCCAGAGTGCTGGGACTACGGACGGACGTGTACCACAGCACGGCAGGCCACATGGGTGCTGTCCCTAGTGTCTCCGCTGCGGGTGGAGGGCAAGTCCCTGGGAGGCCCAGAGTGCCTCGCGCAAGGTGCATTCCCACGGCTGGACGAACTGGAGGCCCCAGCCAGTCTCAGGGCCTCTCCGGTACTCGCGTGCCACTTCCAGCATTTCTCTTAACTACTGCGGGGTCCCTGCTCTCCTTCCGCTGGTGTCAGGCCCCTCAGCTGCTGCTTCAGGCCTCCCGGGGGTGCTGCGCCCAGCCCACCCCCAGGACCCCCTCAGTTTCCCCACCCGCTGCGTGGCTCACGTGTAGGCACCGCCCCCAGCCCGGCGGGGCCCAGGCCACAGCAGAGGCTCTAAGCACCGAGCGAACTCTGTGCGGTGGTGGCTGGCGATCTGGGCGCCAGGACAGGGTGGTGAGGCGGCCTCCGGCGCCTTGGGGACCGAAGCCCAGGCCTTCCGGCCGCCTCACCTTGCTGCTCTGCTCGGGCCTCAGGCGGTGTGGCCGAGTGAAGATGCCCTGCAGCCTTCCCATCAGCTCCTGCAAGGCGAGGGGCTCAGGGCGTGGGAGTGGCCAGGATGTAGAGGCTGGGAGCCCCCTTTCCTCCCAGCGAGTCTTATTTATTTATTTAGATTTTTTTGAGGCAGGCTCTCACTATGTAGTTTCGGCCGGCCTTGAACTCAGGGGGATCCTCCTGCCTCAGCCTCTGGAGTGCTGGGGTCACAGGTGTGCACGGGACTCCATCAAGTCTATCTTTGGCATCTGACCTGGTGCCCCTTAGCGGTCCCATCCCTCTCCTGGCACTGGCTTGGACACCTCCCCACCCAAATCCAAAGGAAAGGGGTGCAGGGCCGTGCACAGCTCTGCCCTCTGTTGCAGCGGAGGGTCACCCAGGCTTCCTGTCCTAAGAAGGCCTCACCTGCCCCCTCGGCTTGCAGATGATGGCTCGGAGGACGGGGCGCCAAGGTCCAGCCCCGGTCCAGCCTGCAGTGCTGACAGCCTGTGTATGATGTGCACGTGCGTGTGTGCGCAGGTGTGTGTGTGTGTGTGTGTGTGTGTGTGTGGCTCCTTGCAGGGGACCTGCAGGGGCTGGGGACTCACGTGGGCCAGGTCCAGGAACTCAGCCTTGTTGGCAAGGCTGAGGAAGGAGGAGCAGATGACCGGGTGAACCTGTGGGAGGGTGGTGCTCAGTGCCTGCCAGGGAGGGCGCCCAGCCTGCACCGTTGCTCCCTCACCTGCTGTGTGGGCAGCAGGGTGGCCAAGTGACAGAGCTGCTCCTTGCAGGCCTTGTCCTTCTCTTTGTACTGGCTGCAGAGGGGCATCATCGGGCTGCTCTCCATGGGGACCCCCGCTCGTCCTTCCTGTCATGCCTTCCTGGCTCTGTGCCACCTGCCCTCCTTGGCTGGGGACACCAGGGTGCCTTGCGCCCCAGGTGGGCAGAGGCTGCCCAGGCCCAGGGGACGGGGACGGCCACCACTCACCTCTGCACAGTCTGCAGCAACAGCGCTTCCCTCTTGGCCAGGGTGTCCTGGGAGGGATGGTGACACTAACATGGCACAGCCGGACACTCCCATCAGCCCACCCCGGGGACAGGTGCAGCAGGCTGGTTCTCCAACCTACTGGCCCTGCCGGGTGGCAGAGCCCTGCCTCCTCCCTGCATTCCACTGAGGGGAGCCTGGGGACCCTCACCTTTAATGTCACCACCCCAGCCTACACCAGGCCTGGCATCCTCCTGGAACCCTCTGGAGGTTCCCTAACCCTAATCTCTGGAACACCCTAACTCCTGAGAAACAAGTTAGTTCAGCTCCAGCTGCCCTGCTGCTTTGCTTTTTGTTTCCTTTTTTTTTTTTTTTGGTACTGGGGATTGAACTCCGATCCTTGCACTTGCAAGGCAGGCAGCAGAATCACTGAGCTAAATCCCTGGACCTGTTTACTTCTTTTTTTTTTTTTTTTGAGGCAGCCTGTAGCCCAACTCGGAGCGATCCTCCTACCTCAGCCTCCCAAGTGCTGGGATTCCAGGAGTATGCCACCACGCCCAGCATGCCCTGCTATTCTGGAAACTCCACTGGGGCCCCTGGGACCCCCTGACTGCTGTCCCCGCCCCACTCGGGGTCCCCCCCAGGCACCTGCATGCTTCCGAAGAGCGCGTGGATGGCGGCCTCCTCCTCCTCCGCGCTGTGTCGCACCTCCTGCACCAGGGCCTGCAGCAGCGCGATGGCCTCCCGCGTGGCCGTCTGCAAGGCTTTCACGGCCTGGGGACAGGGTGGCGCATCGCCTGCTCCAGCCTCTCGAAGCCCTGCACGTAGGCCGACTCCAGGTCCACGCAGTGGGCCCAGGCGTCCCTGCGAAAGGCGGCGCGTGAGACTCAGTCTGAGACCCCAGCCCCCCCCTCCCCTACCTACCCCTGAAGGTCCCGGAAGCAGCGGATGCACAGCAACGACTTGGTGTCGGTGGAGAACAGGATGTAGGGCTCGGCGTGCAGCGCTGCTGGAGGGCCTCCCCCCCCTCCCCCCGTGTCTGTGCCCACGCGGGAGCGGCACTCACTGCACTTCTGGATCACGTCGTGGCTCCGCTGGCCCAGGGCCACGATGTCGTGGGACGCGAACATGCGCGCCCGGTGCGTGTCATCGCGGCAGCGCGCACACAGGGGCTGTCCGCACGCGTTGCAGAAGTACACGGTCTCGGCGGTCTGGCGACAGAGGGGTGCAGTCCGAACGGCAGCACTCTAATCTACCCAGGTTCCGGATGGGGACAGTGAGGCTCGGAGGCTGGGTAAGTAGAGCAGCAGGGGGGAGTGGCCAGGGTGAGGCTTCCGGAGGCAGTTGGTGGGGAGGGCATAAACTGCACCTAGAAACATTTTACAGTGGTGCGTGCGCCCCAGGCAGGTGTCGGATAGCACACTGATGGGCCATCTTGGGTGGGTCATCCTGGGACGACCCTGGAACCTGGGCCCCCCATGCCCTTTGCCACCCTGCCTGCTTGCTGCACTCCAGGTCGCAGTTGGCGCAGTGCACGGCTTCCACACCGTGCCCGGAGCTGTCCACCAGGAACTGCAGCAGCCGGTCCCCCGGGGGCAGCCCGCTGGGGTCTTTCACCTCGGTCTGGTGTCTGCGGAGAAGAGGCAGCCGGCTCCAGATACCCGGCAGCTCTGCGCCCCGCGCTGGCTCGCATTCCAGGCAGGAGCTGACAATAGCAGCTCCGGGAGGCGGCTGGGCTCGGTCTGCTCGGATTACAGCAGCCTGGCTTGCCCGGCCCACCCCTCCCAGCCTTGCCCGGGTGGGCGGCTCCCGTACACCGAGGTGTCGGTGCCCTCAACGATGGGCCAAGTTCCAACAGTATGAAGCCGCAGACGCCTGGCCAGAGGACCCCGCACCTGCGGCTTGCTCACCGCACTAGGACCCCGGGTAGTTACTGTCCTCAGCCCCCCGCGTCCTTTCCGGCTGACAGAGAAATGAACTGTACTCTTTTTTCTTTTTTTGAAACAAGGTCTCGCTGTGTAGTTCAGGCTGGCCTACAACTTGAAGATTCTCCTGCCTCAGCCTCCAGAGCGCTGGGATTACAGGTGTGCGCCACCACCCCTAGCTTCCCAGCCTCTTCTGCCTGGGCGGAGCCTCATCTTCCCCTTCTGCACCTGGGCTCCGGCGAGGGTTCGGGGTTGGGGACACGGACCGGCACAGCGGGTAGGCCAGACGCCCATCGACGGCGCGGCCGCGTAGGCAGCCGGCGCAGAAGTCGTGGAAGCAGTCCAGCAGGCACAGGCGCTCGTACTGCACGTGGCACAGCGGGCACACGAGGGGGTGGCTGCTCGCGGGGTCCGGGGCGCCCGGGCCCTCCAGGGGCGCGAAGATCGCCCCTGACATCTGAGGCCCCGTGCAGGACTGGTGCCCAGAAACCGCGCCGGCACCTCCACCCGAGTGCGCTCCGAGCCCGCTCTCCGCTGAGCTCCGAAGGTCACCCCGCCGCCCCTCTGCTCGCTCCACCCCTCCCGGGTCCCCGCCCCGCGCCCTCTGGGCGCCCCTCCTCAGCTGGTGGGGCCCTGCGCTGTGCGGGGGGGCCGGGCGGGGCCGAACTGGGCCCGCGGCCCCAGGAGGAGAGCAGACGCCCCAGTGCCGGGGAAGGTCCGAGCCTGGACCGCAGGCCGCCCGAGATGACACAGCCCAGCCTCAGGATCGCGGGGGTGCAGGGCCCCCGGCAGGGTCGAACTGGGAGGCTCCTGCAACCCTTTCCTCCATGGCCAGATGGGGGCGCCAGAGGGCAGCCGACAGCACTCCCCAAGCGTCCCGGCGCTGGGGCGGAGGAGCGAGGACTTGGGCCGGCTGCGCCCCGCGCTGACTCCTGGGGGGCCTCCGTAGCGCCCCTAACGTGGGGTTGGTCTTATTCCATCAGGAGAGACTTCCGCGGAGTCTGCCTGTGCAGCGCACCTCCTGGGCTTCCCTCCCCGCTGCCCGCTGGGTTCCCAAAAGAGGGCAGGACTGGGGCCTTTTCTGCAGGCCTTCTCTGCTCCTTCTTTTCTTTTTCTTTGCATGTGGGTTTCAACCTTGCACTCGGGGCCTTCACACTGAGCCACATCCCCAGCCCTCTTTTTATTTTTGTATCTTGAGACAGGCTTGCTAAATTGTCCAAACTGGGCTCAAATTCCCAATCCTCCTGCCTTAGCGTCCCAGAGCGCTAGGGTTACAAGTGGGCGCCTGTTTGTCACAGTGTCATTTTCTCCACAGTGCCCTCCCTTTGGGGGCAGCACTCCTTTATCGGCTTTCCCCACCAGTCACCCCAAACTCCCTGAAGGCAGCCTGTTTCTGCCCGGCTTCCCCCAGAATCAAGCCCAGAGAGTGACTCTCGGAGAGTACTCAGCAAAGGCGTACTCATAGGTTAGGAAAAAACTGGGAGAAGCTGGGCGCAGTGGCCTGTGATACCAGCACTCGGGAGGCTGAGGCACAGGAGGATCATGAGTTGGGCAGTGACTTAGCAAGACCCAGTCTCAAGTTTTTTGTTTTTTTGACTCAGGTCTCCCTGTGTAGACCAGGCTGGCCTCAAACTCAAGGTGATCCTCCTGCCTCAGCCTCCCAAGTGCTGGGATTACAGGTGCGCCCCACCAGGCCTGGGTTTTTTTCTTTGTACAAAGTCTCACTATGTACCCCTGGGTGGCCGTGAACTATGTAGCCCAGGTCTGCCTTCAATTTGAGGTCCTCTAGCCTCAGCCTTCAAGTGCTGGGATTATAGGGGTGTGTATCATTCCCAGCTCCAGCTGGGTTTTTGTTGTTGTTGTTGTTGTTGTTATTACTT